TTATACAATCCATTCCATCTCTTATTCCTCAGAAGTAGGCTCTGTCCTCAGCCCTCTCGTCTCTGTATATATTTTGCCTTGTCACTCTCACTCACTCCCATGAATTCTGTGTGGATCATTTCTGCTTCTAGTCTGTATATCTGTGCAGGTCACTGACCTATCTCCTGAACCCCAAGCCTTTATCTTCAGATGCCTACAGGATTTTCCACATCACTGTCCCATCAGTGTCCACTGCAAATTCAGCATGTCCAAAATGAGCATATTATCTTTTCCCCAACACCTCTCCCTCCCCACTTGACTATTTCTACAATTACCAACCGCACAGCCTTCCATATTTAGAGCTTCAGATTTGTCTTTGTCTCATTCCTTTTTCTCCCTTCTCCATGCCATTCAGTTCTCAAGTCTTATTGGTTTACAGATCACACAAAGCTGGGAGGGATACACATTGGTTGACAGAACTTGACAGGCTACAAAATTGGATCTAATTACACTTGGGTTCAGAAAACTAAACAAGTACAAAATTAAGGATTTATGACAGATGCTAATTCATCTGGAAAAACTATTTGGGTGTTTTGGTGGACTACAATCTCAAACTGAATCAAAAGTGTGATCTAGTATTGGAGAAGCTAATGTAGTATTGGGCTTCATTAAGAAAGGGGTAGCTTTTACGAACAAGGAGGAGGCAGTTCCACTTTATTCTGCTGTGAACTGACCACATCTGGAATATTGTAGTCAGTTCTATGCAGTCTGTTTTTGCAAGGGCATCAATAAGTTACGTGGGCATCCCGGGGAAAACAACCAGGGTCGTGGAGGGCTCCAAGTTCATTCCACAAGAAGGCCTTTGGAAGGGAATGGAGATGCTTAGCCTAGAGAGGAGAATACTTGCAGGGATGTGGTGGCTTTCTTTAGATATGTTGAGGTCTGTCATACGGAAAAACGATTATACTTATTCTTGTCCTGAGGTGACTGAACCAGCCACAAGTGTAGAAGTATGTGGGTTTTTTTTTAAATCTAAATTAAGGTTTGGTGGAAGGAAATCTTCCTGATTATTAAAGTTATCCAAAACTGGAATATTTTACTTTTGAAAGTAATGAATTCTTTGCCTATCCTTGGAGGTCTTAAAGCAAAGATTGTATTACCTCTTGTTAGAAATATTGTAGAGAGGACTCTTATTCAGGTATATTATTAACTAGAAGGCATCCCTTCTCCTCTCTCTCCCCTAGAGAATCATCCCATAGAACAAAGACTTTTTTGTTCGTTTGTTTGTTTGTTTTTAGGCAATTCTGATTAAGTGACTTGCCCAGGGTCACACAGCTAGTAAGTGTCAAATGTTTGGTCTGAGGCTGCATTTGAACTCAGGTCCTCCTGACTTCAGGGCTGGTGTTCTATCCACTGTGCCACCTGGCTGCCCCCAAGACATTTGTTGAAAAAAACAGCGGAAGAGAGAAAAAAATCAGTCAAGCTAATCAATGCATCTAAAAATTCTGATGATATATTCAGTATTCCACACTCGTGGACCACTCCTTCACATTCTCCTTGCCACCAGCTGTGCAAAGGAATGGTGAGAGGTGTTTTCTTATCTCTGTTCTTTGGGAATGAGTTCATAATTTCACAACATTCATTTTTGATTGTTTGTGGTTGCTGTTTATTCCACTTAAATTATTTTAATCTTTGTTAATATTATTTTCTTGTCTCCTCTTATTTCACTTTAAATCAGTTCTTTTAAGTTTTCCGTGCTTCTCTGTATTAGTCACATGTGTAATTTCGTAGAGCACAATAATATTCAATTCCATTCGTGCACATTTGTTTAATCAGTCCCCAGTTGGTGAACATCCACTTTGTTTACACACTAAGTGACTCTTAGCACCTCTGCCCCTTATCCCATTCCCACAGACATCTTTGCCAGCTCTAAGGCACTGTCCCTGGAGAAGCAGAAAGGGACCAAGCAGTCCTGAGGACTGTTATGTATTTTACTCTTTTCATGGGTTGCTATAGCCAAATAGTTTATCATTAAGTTGTCCGTCTCCTAGCGATGAGTCTTTCCGTTCTTAGGGATCTCTGGAAACCAGACATATTATTTTTTTCCACTATCATACTCAAAAAATTTCTGTCTTAGAGTAGAAGCTGACAGAGCCTTACACTTTGTTGGCATAGCCTGAGGACTCACATTTATCTATAGGGGTCCCCACTAATGTGAAGCACCCAGTTTTATCCCAGATGAGACACCACATGTAGCTGTTATACTGACCTTACTCTCCTAGATCAAGGTCTGCTCTATCTCCTTGCCATGGTTCTAGGGGTAACCTTGTGAGTAGCTCTTCTAAAAACCAGCTTACGAGCTGCCACCAATGTGTTTCCCCTTAACAACCAGCTTGTAGGCTCAGTTCTTTGGGAAAGGCATTTATTTTCTTGGCATAGCATTTCCCCTGACAACAGGGCCAGCCTCTCCCACAAACACAACCAGAGCCCAGGCGAGGGGAACAAGGAGCATGAGGTGCTCATGTAAGGTACTTATACAGCACCAAGGCAATTAAGAATTCTGTAAATATCAGGCCCTGTTCTTTCTTTCTCCAGAGAGTTTTCATGAAGTTCATTCTGAATTGTGAGTATAGTTCTCCTGACCTTTCAGAAAGTTGTAGCCTTCAATCTCCTTCACTTAAAATGGAAGAACAAATGGTGAGGCAAAGAACTTGAGCCTTTATCCACAGGCCACATATTGGCCAGCAATGAGACAGGCATGAGGCCTCTCCTCTCACCTCATCGTTTCTCTTCTCTAACTGGAGTGCCATTGGGCAGGAAAGAGAAGGACCAAATGTGAACAAACCAGGTACTACTTAACTGGTTCTTTTTGAATGAGCCCGACTCTGACTATGTAGCAAATCAAAATGGTTCCAATCATCATGTGGTGATCGGACCAGAACGAGTTATAGAATGTCTATGCTGGCTCCATGTGGGGATTGCATCTTAGGTGCTCTGCACAGCCCTGTAAAGACTGGGCTCAAAGGTTGTTCATAACAACACCGCTCACCTGGCTGCTCTGTTGTGATGTCGACTATTACTGCTGAAAAACCATACCCTGGCCAAGAGGCATTCACTGCGAATCTGGGGGCAGCTGTTACCACTTACTTTTTGGGGAGCAATCTAAGACAATCCAGCTAAGGTAGCTCTGAAAATCTATCAGCCCTGGTGACTGGTGAGACCAGCTCCTTTGGTTTCACAAACACTGGATATAGTAAAGGAGTATCATGATACTGCTTTGAATGACTTCAGAATTCTAATCAAAGCGTCAGCCAAGAGTAACTTCAGAAGACTGATGCTGAAACATACCTCCTGCCTCCTGGAAGAGAGTTTATGGACAAGAGGCCTGGAGTGAAACACGCTTCTCATCCGTGATCAGTATGCTGTTCTGTTTAGATGCACGTATGTATGTTTGTGTGTCTCTCTATATACATATACATACATACACACATATATACTAAGCTGTATACACATACACACACATATAAATACACACACATATAGACTAGTATGCTACCAACTAGGCTATTTTGTGTGTGTGTGTGTGTGTATGTGTGTGTGTGTGTGTGTGTGTGTGTGGTCTAGTTGTCTATTACATGCATACATGCATACATGTGGTAAAATTCCATATATACATGTATATGGTTGTCTATCTAGCTATCAGTCCAGCTATCTGTCTCTATATGGAGAGAGAGGAAAAAAAAAAACAGAGAAAGAATAGGTATGGGGGGGGGGAGTGAGCGAGGCACACATGTAAGGTATATAAACAACTCTAAGGCAACTCACAACTCTGAAAACGTAGGACCCTGATGTTTATCCTTTCTCCGAAGGGTTTTCATGAAGTTCATTATGAGTTGTAAGTATATAACATACATACATACATGCATGCACGCATATACACATACATACATATGTATGCATATGTGTGTGTATATATGTGTGTGTGTGTATATGTATATACACATGTGTATGTTCTTTTTAATCACAGATTATAGATGAAGAACTGAGGCAAAAAAGGTTAAAGTGACTTGCCCAGGGTCACACAGTAAGTATCTGAGGCAGAATTTGAACTCAGATCTTCCTGACTCCAGACCTGGTGCTTTATCCACCATGCCATTATAATTGCCCCATTATATTATACACTTATAATACACACATACACATGTATATATATAGAATTATTAAAAAAAACCAACAGGTTGGATATAACAAGTTCACAGTTTCTAATACAATACCGTTTTCTTCTGTGTATAATGAAATATTTGTGTTTGTAGATGTTTGTCAAGTTCAAAAGAAAAAAAAATTAATCTGTAACTTATCTCTTCAGTGGATGCAAACACAAGGGACATCTCATTAGTGTCCTAAGGATAGTGGGTGCCTCTAGAAACCCTCCACTCCTCTTCCTGTGGGTTGCAAATCGAACTGAGTCAATTACATTTTCACTAAGAGCTGTTTGTGTTGACAGACTAAATCCTATCTAGACAAAGTACTGTGCACCTGGCCAGGCTCTCTGAAGGCATTTCCTTTCCTTGGTGAGGATGAAATGGTGGTGACATAGTGCTAAGTGACAGAAATGGAGACTGTTTCCACCTTTTCTGCCCTCACCCTTCTATCCAGTTAAACACATTGAGAAATCAGGCTCACTTACCTTTTCACATTTTCTGTTTTTGTCATCATACATTTTAGTTCCTGGGATGATGGAAAACAACTGAAATGCCTAAAAACTGTCATATGTCAATTCATTGTGTTTAATGAAGTTGTATACCATTTGGCATATGTGTTTAGCAGAGTTGTAGTTTCTGAATACAGCATTTGGCAGTAAATGCTATATTCTTCCATTCATTTTTGTGATTTATATTCATTCTGGGCCTCTAATATTCAACAAGGGAATTCAGACATGTTTCATAACACACTTACTGTCATGTGATCCTGTGAACTAAATTTGCTGATATTTATCATTTTTATTTTTCTTTTTATTCCAGCACAAAGCCAAGGTGGAAGCCATGACCCTAGACCTTGCTTCTCTCCGAAGTGTGCAGAACTTTGCTGAAGTGTTCAAGTCTAAGAACATGTGAGTATGTCGAGAAAGAATGATAGATCAGCATTTCTCACCATTGTAATGTCATTATTCACTGGTCATCAAGGGCATGTGGCCTTTTGGATTTAGTTTTTCTTTTTAATCTTTTGATTTTGTCTTAGTATGTCTTACTGTCTCATGGAGTCATTGATTTTTCTCTGGTTTCTTCTGGTTTTCAGGTAGCCCCTTACTTAGGTATAGTTTACTACTTTCTCTTCTAATCTGTTTTTTTATCCCTCAAATTCTTTTTATTCCAGTTTTTATTTATTTTTTTTAAATCTGTTGCATCATTTCTTTTAGGCATTTGTGTGGTCTTTGTTGAAAATCTATGCTTTGAGTCTTTGCTTGTAGTTGTTATTTAGTTCTCCTTTCTGGGGTTCTCTAGATATCCACATAGTAATTTTTTATATGCAAAAGTATTATCCTTCATTTACTCAATCCTCCAGCATTCATTCATAGACTGGGACGTTTTGCCAGGAACAGACTCTGCCCTCTGGCAGGCTTTTGGTTGGGGCCATTGACCCTGCCTGGTCTTCCTGCACAGACTTCCACTTTTTGACGTTCAATCTTGTTGGATGTTTGAGCCTCTGCGAATTGTGTCTTCAGACCATCTCTGGCATCTCAGGACAGTGTTAGGTGTTAGGAACCTTAGAGCCTTTGGGCTTAGCATAACCTGCTCTGAGTACTGCCATACCACACTGAATGACTTCTGTTCCTTAAGTCTTCCAGAGTTTCCACCCTAGAACTTTCTCACCTCTCTGGGGATTTCTGACTTCCCTGAATCTTTTTCAGGTACTTTCTACTCTTTCTGCATCTTGACACAAGAGCTTTACGTGGTCCGTGTATCTTTGCCTACCTCTTGTCGCTCTGAGAAGCTAGGCTTCTGCTGTCTTTGCAGGAGGCCAGCCCACTTTGCTATTGCTCCTGTTCTGCTGGCTAAGTTCTTGTGCAGTGCTGTAGCCGAAAAAGTCATGAGCTTTAGTTTATCATGGGATTTCTTGATCACTATTTGTAGTAGGAATGTGGGAGTTGGGTGTGCCTTCATTGAGGAAGCCATCTTGGCTGGGAAGTCTGAGGACTTCTAAGTAGATAATTTAATTAGATGAATTATAGGATTATTCCATTGTAGATCTAGAATTACAAGGGATTTCAAAGGCTGTATAGTTTTACTTCCTCTTTTTTACAGTTTTACTTCTTCATTTCTGACACCCAAAAAGGTTAAGCAGTATGGCTGAGGTTACAGAGACAGTAATTATCAGAGGCAGAATTGAAACTCAGGTAGGTCCTCTGATTAATTGTGGAGTCAGCACTCAGTTATCTATAGGAACTGGGCATGAGTAATCCCAAACAGCAGGGAGAAAAATGCAAATTATCATAGAAACAAATTACAAAAGAGAGAGGTTAGGGGCTATCAAACATAACACCTGAAGACAAGGAAATCAAGACCCATAGAGGTTAAATGATTTATCCAAGGTCATACAATGAGCCACTGTCTGGGTTCTGACTAAAACTCAGGTCAAATCTCTTTTCATACATTGAATTTTTAGTTTTTAGTTTGATGTAGGTAGGTAGTCACATGCAGTACAAAGAACACTGGTTTACTGTACCCAATACATGGATTTGACTTTCAGCAGCTGTGAGTTAAAGTCTGGGTAACTAGGTGACATCATAGTGCACAGAGTTAAGAAGATCTGAGTTCAAATCCAGTCTGACATATTTACTAGCTGTGTGACCCTGGGCAAGTCACCTGTCCATCTCAGATGAGGAATCTGTAAAATGAGGATAATAGCACCTACCTTCTAGCATTGTTGTGAGGATAAAATAAGATACTTATAAAATGCCTTGCAAACTTCAAAGTTCTGTATAAATTTTAGCTATTTTGCTAAAAAAAAAAGAGTTAGATGAGACCTTAAAGATTTTCATTTCTAGCTTCTTCTTACACTAGTCCCTATCTCTCAAACCCTGTGTACTCTGCAATCTTGCTTTTACTTGCAAAAGGCATTCTCTTTCTCAGTTCTGCATTTTCACTGGCGATCCCCCGTGCCTGGAATTCTCTCCTCCTCATGTAGGCTTCCTGAATTTCTTAACTAGGTAAAATCCTGCCTTCTGCAAGAAGGTGTTCCCAATTCCCTTTAATTCTAGTGCTTTCCTTCTGTTGTTCATCTTGTATTTATCCTATCTGTATTTTGTTTGCATATTAGCTTCTCCGTTAGACTGTGAGCTCTTTGAGAATAGGGATTATTTTTTTTGTCTTTCTTTGTATCTGCATTACTTAGCAAAATGCCTGACACATCGTAGGTGTTAATAAATGTTTACTGACTCATTAATTTTTAACTTGATCTGAACTTCATTTATATCTACAATTTCATTTATGTCTACAAAACCTGTACTACTAGTAGTAGACTAGTACTAATAATAATCCTTGCATTTACACAGAGTTTTATATTTGGTAAAGGCAGCTAGGTGGTGCAATGGATAGAGTGCTGGGCTTAGAGTCAGGAAGACCTGACTTCAAATCTGGCCTTAGATACTTGTGACCCTGGGCAAATCATTTCACTTAACTCTGTTTACCTCGGTTTCTTCTTTTGTAAAATAAGCTGGAGAAGGAAAAATGGTAAACCATTCTAGTATTTTTGCCACCCCCCCAAAAAAAAAAAACCTCTATAGGGTCACAGAGTCAGACATGACTGAAACAATTGAACAACGAAAAAGTACTTTAGAAATATCATTTTATTTTATCCTTACTGCAACCATGAAGATCTCAGACTCTGAATTTCTTTTTCTTTTCTCATTCTTTGACTCTTGAAGGGAAGATTCTCTGTTCTTCCCCTATTAGAATATAATTACTTTATCATCTTGTTCTCAGTTCTAATTGCTCCAATGTAATTGCATTTCTAGTTTTCTTTTATCTCCTGTTTTCATTCAAATATTCTGCCCAGCTCTGGTTTTCTTGTGAGGAATGCTTGAAAGTCATCTCTCTACTAAAAGTTATTATTTTTTCCTTTGGGGATTATATTGAGCTTTCCAGAATAAGCTTTTTTTCTTTCTTTCTCTCTCTTTCTCCTTCCTTCCTTCCTTCCTTCCTTCCTTCCTTCCTTCCTTCCTTCCTTCCTTCCTTCCTTCCTTCCTTCCTTCCTTCCTTTCTTTCTTTCTTTCTTTCTCTCTTGTCATAAGTTATTTTCTTTTGGTATAATATATTCTAGGTTTTCCTTTCCTTTTTCTGTGTAGTCTTCTGTTATCCTGATTGTGGTTACTTGATACTTACTTTCTTTACTCCTGGATTATTGTGGGATTTTGTTTGTTTGTTTGTTTTGTTTTTAACTTGGAAGCATTAGAGTTTGGTTAGGGTATTTGTATGTGTATTTGAATTAGAGTTTCTTCTAAGAGATGACCTGAGGATTCCTTCTATTTTTACTTTCCCCTCTGGCTCTAAAAGTTCTGAATAATTTTCTTTTATGATTTTTAAAAATATCTAAGTATTTTGTTTGAACTTATTATTCTGGGTATCTAGTTATATACAAATTATTTTTGCCTCATCCTAATTTGCATAACATATAACTCAGATGTCCTAATTTTATTGCCTTTCAATTTACTTCTAATAATTGTTGTTACTTCATGAAATCACCGAGTTCTGTTTACTCACTTATATTTTTTAGGGTATCTACTACTTGGATTAAATTTTCTAGTGTCTGATTAAGCAGTTTATTCTCTTTCTGAGCATTCTAATTTCATTATTTGTCTTGTTTAATCTCTTCCTTCATTCTATTCCATGCACATTTGGTGTTCTTGTGACCAATACTTTCTTTTTTATAACATTCTCTTTGCAATTATTGTGGAGTTACTCACTTCTTTTGTGTTTTTTTTTGTCTTAGGATTTTATTAAACCCATAGATTTCTTATTACATTTGGGGTTTTCTTGTATTTGCTTATTTCTCCAGTTCTTTGATGGGACTTTTTGTCAGCATTAGGCTTTGTGCCTTTCATAGTCTTAGATATGGTAACTAATCACAGATCTTTCTCCAACTGCTAGAATCCACAGTTGGGACAACAGCGTACCAGGGAAAGGTGCTGCCCCTGGAGATAGAATGTTGCTTTGCTTTCCTGTTATGGCTATGGTTCAGATATGGTGGACTACTTCCCCTCCCCTAATGTAATACTTGAATAAGGCCAAGCTTTGGCTCCTTATCCATTCCCATCTTGGAATGGGGCCTTCTAGTGGCTTCAGTCTGACATTGATAGTGCCCTTTCAATGTTTAGCTCTATTTTTATAATCACTGGCCAGTAGGCCCATAGCTTTGGCCTGCTGTGTTGTGGCCTCAAGTAGCCTGTACCGGTACCAATCCGAGATATTTTTTTACTCTTTCCTAGAGGGCCCCAGTGTTCACTGGCTTCTGCCCCTCCTCCATCTTGGTTCTCTTGCACAATCACCTACTTATGGTTCCATGGCCACAGTCCACCACAGAAGATTGGGCCTGCTTTCAGGCTGCTCTCTACATCCTCAGTCAGATTGTCTGCAGACTTGGCCTATATTCTGTGGCAGTCCTAGACTGAATAGAAGAGTTCACTATTGTTTATCTTTAGTTTTACTGAAATCTTTGTTTCATCTGGTGCTTCTTCATTATTGTTGAGGTATTTCAATCTTGTCCAAAAACTTTCTCATCTTCATCTTTGTTGTAAGTAAAACTGTTGATTTCACTAACTATATTTTTTAATTAAAGTAGTGATGGGATTGGAAAGTTATTGTTGGAAGTAGAGAGATCATATTTATCCTAATTATGAGTGTGGCAGAAAATATTGACACTTAAACCTTTGAGAAAAATAGATCATTTTGGAAAATCCTTTTAGTTTGGTTATGTATCACAAAATAAAACAATGTTGTAGAAGTGATTGAAAATAAAAAAATAAAATAAATATTGATAGCAATAAAAGCCAAATTAAAATTAAATGTGATTCTTTTCTAGATTGAAATATATTCACAAAAATTTATTCATATT